TTCACAGAGCTTATGATCCGAAAATAGGCTAACGTGTACGCTAAGTAACGAGGGAATGTGAGCGATTAATTTTAATAATAAGGGCTTGCAAATTCAGGCACTGTTCAAAGAAGTCGGTCCTATAGAGTGAACAATCGACGGAAAGTGTTAAGTGGGTTGAGTGGACGTCACATATATTTTACTGACCTTTGAAAAGCTTCGTTGAGATCCTTCGCCTTGAAGTCAAGAGAAAGGACGTTTCCTAACACGGGAAGAGATGTGAGGCGAGGGCCTGGTGGCATGTTTCTGAACTCGTAAAGGATCATCAGATAATGCAAAATGGCCAAAAGAAGCAGCAAAAGAAGAAAGTTTCCAAGGCTTAGGAAACTGTAAATCGTGGCGAGTACCATTTTGGATTCTGATCGAATAAGCAAATCAACGAAGTGCAGCTGAGCAAAGAAAAAAGTCACGCAATCCTCCAAAACCCAACCTGTGCCCAACCTCGTTCCTGGAGAGACTCTTCAGTGGACTGGAAATGGAAACACTGATCCGTCTAAACATTTTTTTGGCGGGAAAATTAATGCCGAAATGCTGCAGAAAATGTCCATAATTTATTATTGCCCATATTTTTTTAAAGCACTATGAGATAAAATGCCCGTTTTCAAAGGCTTTAACTTTCTAGCATTGCCCAAACCGCACTTTAAAAATTAACAATGGAATGTAGTTGTTTTCACACAATTAACAAAAATGTTTTCAGACCTCCCTCCTCGGTTAGAAAACTCACTGGTTGCTTGGTTATACATTTCTAGCCTTACCATTAATTCATTCATTAGGGAGTTTAAGATACGGAGACTACGGACTACGAAACTACGGCTGGACGAGCATTAGCTAGCATTGTCCTTAGTTTGTAGCACTGGGTTGAGTCGTAGAACGTTAAAATTGCACTACAGACAGTAGACTACGAGAGAGGCAGTGGAGAGGGAAACAACACGCAAAGATTTTCTTGTTTTCATCACAGTTCACAAAAATGCAAGTCAGTTTTGCATGTGATCTTATTTTTAGAACAATGAACAAATTCGTCCACACTTGAAGGAAGCAATTACGTCGGGTGAAATTGGTGACCAAAGTTTTCGTTAAACAGGTTTTATTTTTTTCGCCCATAAATACTTATGTCAAATATTAAAGAAACAGACAGAAAGAGTAATAGCTCATTTATTAGATTTAGATGGACTTCTTCGACTACTGATCTGATGCAGTTTGAAGTATTGAAATGCCGAGTTTCCATTGTCTCGAAGATGTTTACATCATTTTCATTCAGCAAATGCGATACAAAAACTCGCATAAACAAAGGTTACACTAGTAGAAAGACACACTAATCAGTTCGAACAAACATTGAAACTTTGCAAGTGCCAAGAGAAAGTAATTTCCCTGCATGATTTCTCTTCTTCTCGGCCGTCAATCTGAATTCTGCGTATAAACAGCTAAGCTTATTTAAATATGAGCTTAGCTAGATAAAAATGTAGTCACAACAGCGAATTAAAAGCGTAAATCTGAGCAGAAATTAGGCACAACTTACATATTTCGCTTCCCTCTCACTTAAAGCAGGTAAATTTTACGAAAAGACGAGATTCTTGAATTGCCGAGACGGCAAAATACGAGCAAAATGTTCTCCGTAGTCCCGACTACGCGAAACAGCTCAACAACTCACCTTAGCCGCAGGACTACGCGAGAAAAATGAACAGTCACGTGGTTTTGATTATGCGCAGTAGCATGTTATACCGTCGTCGTAGTCCGTAGTCGCCGTATCTTAAACTCCCTATTATCTTTGAGCCACGGGGTATTGTCGTATCTTCCTGTTTTAATCCTCCTAAGTTCTAGTTTCTTAGTTTCACTTAGTACTACTTTCCTAGAAGGGTTTTGTCAGATCCAAGAGAGCAAGGTTTCTGTAATAAAAGTTAACTTCTTGGGAATGTTGCAGGGGTTTGGTTCCAAAGAGAGATTTACTTCTTTGTCATTTATGTATTGCTTACTTTTTCAGTCATTATTAAACTGTGTTGCAAATAAAGTAACTAAGATAAATTATAGTATTCAGTGATCTTCATGAGACTAGAATAAGAACTTTTTTGATCGTTATGATGAAGGTCAAAATATACATTGGCAGTGTTTTCGAAGTAGATTTCTAGGGAGAAACTGGATAGCTTAAAACCGTCTCCCTAAAGACTACTTTTAGACTTTAACCAAGAAGAGATATAAGCAAGTTGAGTATGAACGTAGTTATGAATAGGACTGTTGTTGTTGTTGACGGTGACTGACGTTTCGACAACCTGTGCGGTAGTCATCTTCAGAGTCAAAAGTGAGTTGTATCACGTCAATGGATCGTATTAAAATCTGGTTATTGAGCTGATTGGTTAATTAAGTTGCGATGTAAGTAAGTAATGTTCAGTCGTTAACGTTGACCAGGACGATCATACTCAGTGGTGGATCCAGGGTAGGGGCCCGGGCCCCCCCTCCTTGTTTTTAGACCAAACTGAGGCCCGAAGGGCCGAAAAAAAATTTTGGGAGACTGTGCCGCCCCCTCCCCCTTTCCTTATCTCAGGGTCTAGATGACCGGGCCCCCCCGTTATCTCAAGGTCTGGATTCGGCACTGATACTCAACCTCCTTATGAAATGAGTCCTGGGTTCTTTAACACAAGAAGCCGGTTGATAATTTATGGTTTTACTATAAGTTGTCTAAATCTCAATATGATCATGATCCTCTTCTCAACAGATCGAAACAGAACACAAATCAAAACATGGATTTACGGGCTTGAGACTATTTGAGTCGAAACTACAGTTCCCTAGTACGCCACTCACACCTTAAGGTTGAAGGTCAGAATTAACAGTCGAATTTTGTAGTTTGGGTCGACTTTAGCGGGTATTAGGTTCAGCACATCTAACAATGTTGGCTGTTATTTACAAAAAAAGCGAGCTATCGACCGAAACGAATCAATTTGCTATCGGGAAATATTGAGACTTTTTACGTTCATAGATTTCTCTTTCCCCATTAAATGGGCAGGCATCACACATTTTCACAGAGCTTACGATCCGAAAATAGGTTAACATGTACAAGTTAGAAGGGAATGTGAGAGATTCATTCCAATAATAAGGGGTTGCATATTCAGTCGGTCCTATACAATGAATAATCGCCGGAAAGTCTTAAGTGGGTTGAGTGGACGTCACATATATCTTACTCTACCTTGCCTTGATAAGCTTCGTTTAGATCCTTCGCCTTGAAGTCAAGAATAAGAACGTTTCCTAAGAAGGGAAGATAAGTGAAGCGAGGACCGTGCTTGGCATGTTTCTGAACCCGTACAGTATCATCAGATAATGTAAAATGAACAGTAAAAACAAGACTTCGGAACCTTTCAATCGTGGCGAGTACCATTTTAGATGCTCGTGTTCTTATCAAATCAAGTGATCAATGCAGTAAAGCTGAGGTCGAGCACCACTCAACGACAACTGCGCCATTATCTATTTTGTGCAGGGAAAGTCACGCAACCCCCCACTTACGATAGACAATCACCCTATGCCTAACCTCGTTCCCAGGGAGAGATGCCCTACTGGACTAGAAAAGACAGACCATGGAAACAAGTGACAAGTGAACCGTTCTTTTTTGGAGGGAAATCCTGTTTTGTCCTGCAGAATCTGTAAATAATTTCCAGCCTTTTGATTGCCTATAATTCTGTTATAGCATGGGATAAGGTGCCGTTTTCAAAGTAGCATTGTCTGCCTCTAAAACTCTCAAAAAGGAAAAAGACGAAATGACCTGAACTGCACATTTGCAATTTACTTATTATGTATGTAACTTTTTCACGCAATTAACAAAATGTTTTTAGTCTTCCTGCCTCGACTGCCTCCCACGCCGTTTGAAAACTCACTAACTACTTGCTTATAGACTAAGCATACGTTCATTACTATCTTCGATAAACGAATAAATATGTGGTAAATAAGTGCTACAAGTGTTATAATCAGCCTGTCACAAACTGGGGACAATAATGCAGGATGCATTCATATAAACGTAACCTTCAAGAGTTTTTACGTTGCAAAGTGGATAGAGTATGCTCCTGGTGTTCTGAGGGCTGTAGGTTCAAACCCTGTGGGGAACCCGAGACTTCCTCTATTTCCCACGCTCGTGACGAGCTGTTTATCACGTTTTTCACGTTACATGTAATCGTTTTTGTTTTAAAGGAACTTAACTAACCCAGAGTTATTTCCATTTACCTATCTGCTACAATAGACGTCCTTGTATGTTTTGCCGCTTTGCCAATAAACTTCGGGCCACATGACGTTCCCATCATCATTTCGCGCCCAAAAAACAGGGTTTTTTTAAGTTGATAGTGATCATCTTGTATTGATCCATCAAGAGGAAAATGCCGGTCTATTTAATACAGCACAGAAGAAAACGTTTTTACTTCGAAAATATACATATTCCAGGGCACTTTAAAAAATAGTTATAACACAGCGATTACCATAATTACCGGCCATGTTCGGTATTTGACCTGTCGCTTAAATCTTCTTAAACATTATTACAGCTTTGCTTTAATCAGCTTCGACATGACTGTTGGAACCGTAGAAATAATTCATTGCATATAGGCTGTCAACTTTGACACAAATCAAAAGTGTTATAAAGTGAAGTTTTGAATTTGACTTCACCTTTAACAAGCATCAAAAGTGTTGCACAGCCACCACATCTTTGAGTTCATCTGTGTCGTACGTAAAGATGAAGTTAAAATGGTTACGTATTTGACTTCGCCTTCACCAAGGTCAAAGGAGTAAGCAAAAAGGTTATATATCTGGCGGCACTGATTGAAGCGCGTCAAAGGTGAATTCAAAGCCGACTACCATATTTGACTTTACCTTTGACAAAGATCAAAAGTGAAGTAAATCCACTTCTTTGTCCCGTGTAATGTTAAGACATAATTAAGACTGTGCTTTTACTTTATACTTGCTATCTCAGAAACCCTGAATAACAGGGTTCATGTTCACTTTCTTTTGATCGCGCGTATCTTGTAGGGAACTGGAAATTGGGTGAGGCTGAAAATTCCCTCCAACTTTGGGGGACGACCATCTTCTTCAGCAACAAAGGTAAACTTCTGAAGCATCCACGACATGAACAAAAACAGCTCAACTTTCGCCAAAGATTCCCCAGCACAAACCCGGCGTCCAGCTCCAAAAGGGAAGAAATTACCTTGGTTGGTGATCAACTGCCCGTCCTCGTCAATGTGGCGGTACGGATTAAAAACGGTGGGATCTTCCCAACATTTGGAATTTAAATGGACGGATTCCGTATCAACAAAGACGATGGTATCTTTAGGAACCCTGTATCCACAGAGGGTTGTGTCTGTGAGCGTGACATGAGGAACTGCAAGTGGAACTACGTTTCCAACTCGAAGTGCTTCTATAATGGTTGCTTGGATGAGAGGCAGACGAGACCGGTTTTCCAAAGAAGGAGTATGGTCAGCAACTTCTTCATCTAACTGCAGTTGAATGGCTTCTTGGTACTTTGGGTAGTTAACTAAGAATGCTAGCACCCATTTCATTGTCGTGCTTGTGGTTTCATAGCCTGCAGCAAACATATCTTCAATCGTGTTGATAAAGTAGTCAT